GATTTATATCCAACGGAATGAATTTAAATTGAATTTTATTTGGTTTAAATTGAAGTTGTATTGGTTTAAACTAGATTTAAATAAATTTGAAAAATTTAAATGTATATAAATTCAATTTAAATTGAAAATCAATTTAATTTTTTAAATGTTTTTTGATTTATTTAAATTTTGGTAAATATAAGTTGATTATTCCTAATTCAAATTTCTGCACATGAATATTCAATTATCCTTCACCACCATTATATGTGAATAGATACTTTTATGGTCGGTTATTTTCACCAGATTTTTGCCAGTTTGACTGTAAAATTCATCCGGCCGGTTGCTGGCCGGATCGGATAGAAAAAAGCTGCCCGGTTCCAACTCTGATGCACAATGTATCTGAATGTTTTAAAAATAGAAAAAGGCAAAAAAAATTTCGGATTTATCCACATACAGAGGTAAATTATTAATTTGTTCACTATTCGATATCTAACGATTTATATGTATCAAAAATAAACTGTAAATGATGTTTGATCGTACCAAATTATCGAGCAAAATTAATAAGAAGAAATATCAAATTTGTTGATTGAAGATTCATATCGGAATATATATATAAGAGATTCATGTAGCAGATCTATATGTGACCGATATTTCAGTTTTTGCTAAAAATTCATTGGAGAAAAATTTTATCAGATTGTACATCAAACTCTATGTAATGCACCAATTAGTAATTTCTAATAAAAACAATTAACACATTGAAAGACATTCAACTAGCGGCACACAGTGAAGTCAAAAAAACATTTTTTAAATAAAAGAAAAAATGAAACACTTCAACAAAACAAGATGCGTTTGACCATTTTTATTCAAAAAGATCAAAAACTCGAGGAAATTGGAAGATGGTAGATGTGGTATGAGTGTTATCGGGTGCGAATGTGAATTTTCTCTTCACAACCACCCGTACCCTCAAGATCAGCACGATAGAAAAAACGTAGATGCGAATTTTTATTTCATCTATTCATTCCCAGTCACATCCACACTAATCTCTTCGACCTATATCGTCTTTCACAACTGCATGTCGCTTCTCTTAGTTAGCACATTAGTTTGTCAGATTTTTTTCATTGCAAAAGGTCGCAATTGTTTTCCAGCTTAGTGATATTCATCTATATGAACCTGTTTCATAAGTATACTGCAGCTAATCTTAGGTATTTTGTATTTTCGAGAAAATAAATAAATGCATCGAAGCAAAACTTAGCTCCACTCTCAGTCATTAGTAAAAAGAAAGTAATTTGTAGTGCAATGCAGAAAGAGAATGCGTCATGTTTCGTTATACTAGGTTGTCCATGAATGTGTGAAATTTGTCAAGATTTAGCAGATCGACAAAAGAGTTGCACGAAGTGAACAAGTCACTCCAAGGGGGAAAAAGCGGATCCTGGATCCTCGGATCCTGGTGGATCCTGTGGATCCTACTGGATCCTGGTGGATCCTCGTGGATCCTAGTGGATCCTGGTGGATCCTATTGGATCCTGGTGGATCCTATTGGATCCTGGTGGATCCTGATGGATCCTAATGGATCCTAGTGGATCCTAGTGGATCCTGACGGAACCTGATGAATTGTAGAATAAATTATTTCAAGCGTACAGAAACGAGGATGGAAAAGTTGATCTTAATGGATATGAGAATTCTTTAAGGTCCAAATAAATTAAGTGAGAAAAGGGAATAGTGACTTCAGAATTTGTAACTAAGTAACGAGAAAAAAAGATCCAGGATACCAAGATGATTATGTCTTGGTAAATTTTGGCATATCATCATGAATTCTGCGTATTTTTTGGATCCATCAAGATTTACGCTTCCTCAATCGGTTTGATATTATTGTAATACATGATGATTTCTATTGCATTCTAGTTATCTCTGATAAATTGTAATGGATTGTGTTGAATTATAGCCAATGGCGGTAATCTGTGACCGCTTTTGGTACACTTCTAGAAATATATTCTAAAATTTCTTAGGACTCTAGAATCCGCTTTTCTCCGTCAAACTAAGGATGTCAGAACTTAGAGCAACCCTCTACTTTAGTGTTAATCCTGTTTTTCCTTGAGAAAGTGTGAAAGAACATTGTGGGCTCCTGAATCTGAAGATTCATGTCATATTTTATTCAGGATTCCGTTTCCAATTTTAATAATACTGGTTTGCAGGATATTTCATTGTGAAAAAAATATTCTTCTCAGGATCTTTTCAAGTTCCTACTCAGATTTCTTTATTATTTTAACATGATGGACCGTACTAGGATTCACTATTGATCTTACTCAAAATCTTGATAGGGATTACAGAAAGAATATCGCTTAGATTCTATTATAGTTTTAACAGAATTCGTTTGGGATCTCTGCGTCATGGTCCTCTCCTGGCTTACAGTTAAATAAGGCAAAGATCCTACAAGGAATTAATAGAAGAGCAATGAAAATCCTCAGGTAGTGGATTCTTCTAAAATTCAATCACGATTCTATCTAATTTTCTTAAGCATTCTTCTTACGAATATCTTTTCTGAACATTTCCAGGGTTGTCTTAGGGTCTCTTCAAGGACAAGCATTTTGGATCCTTCCTAGAGAAGGTCAAGGATGGCCAGGATCTTTCTGAAAGCATATCAAGGTTAGACGAAGATCTTTACCATTTTCATTTAGAGTCTACTAAAGCTTGATCTTGAGGATTGTAACAAGATCTATGGCTGATCTGGTTCAGGATTTTGAATAAAATTATGAAATTTTTTCACCAAAATCCTTAACAGTTCCTATTTAAGATTCTTCGAATATTTTTGAATCTTTGAATCTCAAAAACTCAAATTGTGCTTGTTAAATAAACTTTTAACAGTAACTATACTAAAATGACAATGAAGAATTTGCAATGTGTTTTGTTCCGGTTCTGACAGGAATGTAGAAGATCAAGAAGGTACCTGAATTTCATTCTAATATTCCTTTGTTTCTATGTGTCAGTGAATGGAAGAATTCTGACAGAATTTTTGAAGATTTCTCGTCAAAGATTTTTAATATTTATCTTCAATATTGCATGACATTTACAGCATGGAACTCAGTTATTTTTTGAATTTTATTTTCATATAAAACTTGCAAACTCATTAAAATGGAGATTTTAATATCAATTTAACTATTGCACTAACTTTTTCTTAAAAAAGCTTTTAGTAAAGAACGAGTACTTCAATAAAACTTGTACTGGGTTTTATTTATTCGTGCTAATCAGAAAAATACCTTTTTATTCAAATTGAAATCAACCAGTCATAGTAGAATTTTATGATAAGTAATCAATAGATTAAGTTTATATTGAATTTTTGTTCAAATAACTTATGTTTGCATAAAGTTCAAATACAAGTTAATAGTTCAGAGGGAATTCGAGATACAGAAGGTTTGAGTTAAATTAAATAGCATGGTACAGTCTACTGCGGTGAACTAATCAGTTTTTTAACTGAACATATAGAAATCAATAATGTGCGTTCATTTCTCTTTTCTGCTTAGAGAATCCTGCAAAAATTTTGACAATACAATGGATATCATCCTTACAGAATCGAAGTGGAGTTCTGCGAGGTGCAATCAGAAAATATTTTCCAATTAGAAGCCATTGAAATTCTGAGAAGAGCTTGACATAAAGTCAATACAAAATGACTCAGAATTTCTCTAAGATTTTGTTCTAATCATAACAGAATCGTGTTTATTTCGTGCCTACACGTTTTTCTGAGAATTTGACCCTCTATTAACATATTTCTTGTTTTAATTGCATTGGTAAACTGCTCAAGATACTGATAGAATCCTGTTATGAACCTTGTCGAGGTCTTGAAATTCCGCGGCTACACGGGTTTCTCAAGATTTAGCAGCTTCTTCGACGATATATGATTGGGAAATAGCAATAAACTGTTACGATCTTGATTGAATCTCAATTAAAATTCTGTCGGCATCTTAAAATTTTATGGGTACACACTTTTTTCCGTTTTTCGCATTTTCCCAGGAAAAAATGGTGAACCTGTGCAGCGCCGTTGCTGCCTATGTCAGAAATCTAGCTCAAAAAGACTTGAGCTTTTCTCTAGCAAAAATTCAACACTATCTAGTACAATCTTTTGAAATCCAGAAGAATTCAGCAGAAATTAACAAGCATCATAATAATCTGAAACCAATCAGGAACACCTAAATCTTGATGGATCTTATTCTATCGTATAAACCGCAGAACTCATTCAGATACTCAAAAGTTCATCGGGGTCCACCAGGCTCTCAATCTCCGAAATTTCTTTTTTCTTTGTTTTCAAAAATTCTACGGCCAATTCTACGTCTGTTTACTTTGTTTCCATGTATTCTAATGGCTTCGGGTGGAGTCCAATAGATCGTGGGATGTCTCAAGTTCCGTTTTTCCTTTGTAAAATAGACTAGTCATAGTTGTATAAATAGCACATGGTGCTCCCATTGATTCATCCAGAACATATTTTGAATTATGCATCCTTATTTTTGTGAATCTGGTTGATTTCCTTGCTTTTGTGGCTATTCAGAACATTAATCTATCTTCATAAATGATAATGAGTTCTAATGGATTCTGGTGGATCCTGATGGATCCTAATGGATCCTGATGGATCCTAATGGATCCTGATGGATCCTGATGGATCCTAATGGATCCTGATGGATCCTGGTGGATCCTATGGATCCTGGCGGATCCTAATGGATCCCAGGATCCACCAGGATCCGCTTTTTCCCCCTTGAGTCACTCCTCATACTCGTTTTCTGATCTATACAACTGGGTTCATTGACTTGACTTGAATTATAATTTTTTTTTAAATAAAAAACAAACTGTTATATTGCTTGTATGTATAAAGATAAACGATGTCTTTATTTATCTCAGTTAAATATCAATAGGTTTATTATCAATGATACATGCTTATCAGTAAATGAAACATGAAATACCCATTGTGGAAATATTAACAAGAATAAAAAGGTAACATCGAAACAAAAACAAAAACAACAACAGAACAAGAAAAAATGACTTCATCGTTTACTTATTCTTGTGTCGCTTACGGACAACAATACGTTTATACTAAATTTTCACAAGGCGTTATGACTCTCGGTGAAATCTATATAGCTCTCATATATGGTCTTATCGATCCAACATGCTTGCCTTCAATGGCTATTATTTATTATGATAATAGAATATGGTGTACAGATACACGCCGATTAACATTAGCAAAAGAATTGGAAAGACAAGGTGAATGGGATGTACTCAAATCGATGCGTATTCATCAAGTCGAACCGAATACTCCTCAATATCGAAATTTTGTCGATCATCGATTACCCTCGATGCTTCGTAAGAGACTGAATGGTTTAACTATTCAAGTATCTGATAAGCGAGGTCCAACTTGTTGCTTTAATAGTCATAACAGACTTCGCACAGATCTTGAACAACACATTATAAAAGATCATTTGAATCATATTAGTCTCGAACAATTGAAAAATCTCTCACATTTCTACTGTGATATGTGTCATAAAACGACACAAATTACGTGTACAAAGTCCAATAAGGCTAGTTATTATAAAATTATTCGAAAATATGGTTGCCGACCAAAGAATACTCATCGGTTCTCACATCCTTGGACTGAATTAACCTTGCAAGAATTGTGCAATGAATTACAATGCTACAACTCGGCTACAAAACAGTCGATGTTTTTAGACAACTCTCACACGAAACCTACTTCCAAAACTTTAACTTCGCCTGAACACCCATCACATAAGCGTTCAAAACATAGTACAATGAAAGATCCATTGATCAATATTAGTAGCAGGAGTAGTTCCACACTTGGTTCTACTTCAATACCAAAGAAGATTGATTCATCAAAAAGGAAAATCAACTATCAAATATCTCAAAATGACACAAAAACAATTATTGATTGCTCAAAAATGTTTACATCAACTATGATGCCTTACTCATCTACTCTTTCAAAACGGACTCAAATTCTACACTTATCAGAGGTTATCGTTCAACCACCGAAAATTAGTGAAACGGTCAACCTATTGAAAAACAATTTCAATAGAAACACGTTCGATGAACATCGAAAGCTGCCTGCGAAGACTTCTGAAAGTATTATCGATACAAGTCAGAGCAGATCAATATCACGCAACGCTGATCACATAAAATCGAAAAAATCTTATTGCATCATTAGCTGATATATATATATTTCTTTCGATAAAGAAAACTTTAATTTGTAATGAAATGTTTCATTTTACTGAACAAGACATTATAATTCATGTTCATAATGTAGATAGAAAATTTACATGCTTGAAAATTTTTATTTTTATTAAATAAATTAAATTTTTGAAAAGTAGAATCTGACAAGCATTTTTAGAATGAAAGTGAGGATGGCGATATAATAATCATGTTTTATCCTGAAATGAGCCAGCTCTTGGTACAGCAAACACATGGGCATCAATATCATACAATTATTTTACAATTAGAAAACGATAGAATGTTGATTACAAGTTATCCATCAATGAGGATGATTCAGAAAATGTATGACACTTTTGTGTAACTATAATGAATGACAAAGAAAGATTTCATCGAATTAGAACGATATAATGAGTCCTTTTGTTGTGGCACAAACAGAGGAAGTCAAGCGAGGCTTCTTAATTAATACACAAATCATGAATTCACAACTGATGCATCGAAGGTACCCGAGTTAGAGTGAATTAAACAAAGAAAAAATGAACCGTACAATTACTAGACACACAGACTTCAACCAAATGGGAAGCATAAAATGATCGGAAGATCAGGTAGGAAAAACTCTGTATACTAATTTTTCATTCTAAGTCGAACAGCTCTTTGCTCTTTCTCTACAGCATTAAAAATAGGATCTTCTCTTCTTTCCATAATCCACAACTGATAAAAATATGCAAGAGCTCGAATTTCTAGGAAGAAATAAGAAGTATTCGAAAAAAGTCTTATCCAAGCATCTTCTTTTACTGAAGATAGACTCCACATACGCATTCTCAACCATTAAACTTTATTTCCACTTTCGGATTTTGCCAATACATTCTATAAAGCTGTTAGAGACATCTACATGGCTTGACACTCGCAAAACTTTTCCAATTTAAATTAAATAGATGTATCACTTTTTTTATGAGATTTTTTAGATTCTCAGAAAACGTGAATGGATTTCTGGTAAATTTAAGATGACTTCATTGAGATAGAAAGTATAGTCTTTGAGCATTACTAAAATCTTCCAGAACTTCGAAGACTTTGTGAACTTATTGCCATTGGAATCGCATGACGTACCTTTCTGATGTCAAATCAGAACGATATTAGTGTTGGAACAAACTACTAATACTTCCCTTTCTCATGATACACTGTAGATACATACTAGTGATAGTTAATCAGTTTAAACTTGTCGAGCGTTATCAAAGATGCAGCAAAATATCATTTTTGGTTGTATGTTTGAGTGTTTAGAAGAGAAAACAACAAACATCACGTGTCAGTAATGACATACTCATGAGCAAAAGAGAGGTCAGTTTTATATCCATACAATTTCTTAAATGGTACAAATTATTTCTATTTATGACATTATCCAATACATAAATCTTTCAACGATAAAGATTATTCTTCTGTTACAGAATATAGTGCATAGAATCTCAGATCTTGCTCTCCCGAGAGACTTTAAAAGTATTTTTCGAAGCATCATTCAAAAGAAATTGGTTCATGATAAAACAAAGATTTTCAATCATCTTCGATCGAAAATTTATACGAAAAGTTGTTGAAAACAGTTTAATCATCCTGAAGACTGTTGACAACACCTTCTAATGTCTGAAAAACGGGATTAAAACAGAAACAAACTGATTACAAAACTAACCAATGCAACGCATCTATCAAACGAAAATAGGTTATTGCATGTATTTTTTGATATAAATAGTTTACGATACTATGTAAAGATTTACAAGAAAATAAGACAATAGAAAAAAGAAGAACAAAATCAAATAAACAAAAAATGAATTATTAGGCAACAATTTCAATCGCACCCTTTGCATAGGTTATTGCGTCATCATATTGACTCAAGGCAACGGTTGTGAGAGATAAGCGTCACTACTTCAATAAAAATACTAATCTTGTGAAATCTTGCTTCAAGCACGTGCGTATGTTTCACAATACATGTTGTTATTTCATCAGATTATTTAGTAGCAAATTAGATATTTAAATAAGAATAATTTTTCGAGAACGATTCAAAATAGTTCTAATGACAAAAATGTGGCCGATTTTCTTTCGGAGTTCATCTCCATGGACATTGTACAAAATAATCTTCGACATAATAATTGTTTTAAAGCCATTTAGTTTAATCCAATGGTTCATATTGGCTGTCAGTTCAATGATAATAACTACTTATTTGAATGTCGCGTTCTTCTCCACCATTACAATAAATGTCACTCAAGGTTTGAAATATCTCATTCTACTAATCATATTTGAGAATGTTACATCTTACTGTTCACTCAAACAAAACCTAGCAAAGAAGACTTTTGTTCTTGATTTTTTAAAATATTTTCAAACAAAATTGAATCAACGGATATTGAGTGCCAATTGGATCAAGATTAAATTATCTGATCAAGTGGAAATTCGACGAAAGATCGAAGAAGCTTCCTCGTCTACTAAATATCTTGTCGAAGAACTTATTGATCACTTGAGAGAAATCTCGAAATTTATCATGACCGTAGTCACCATATTTTACATATGCCCTATTGCAACTGTATTGATCGGTATTGTGTATTTTTATTTCTATCGACTCTATCTGAACAAGAAGAGTAATGAATTACTTGAAGTTAAATTGAAAATGATCGAAAAACATGATAAATTATATTCAAAATATTCACGTGCAAATGCGAACATGTTCGAATATGTCATTCATCATGAAAAAGACAAAATTATCAATATTACAAATGAATTAAAAATTGATATGGAAAGACAATGGTTTGTACTTGATTATCTTTACGATAACTTATCATTCCAAGAAGATATACTTGGCAAATCATGTACATTTATAAATATAGCCATCTATTACCTATTAAATGGAACTATTACATTCATCATTCCATTGTATCATCACTTATCGACGTTGACTGACTCGATTCATACGATGCTAGTTTCTTATATACGTTGGTTAAGATTGATAAAAGATTACGATTTGATTAAACCAATACTTGAAGAGTATGATGAACGAATCAATGCCGAACAAATAGATTTGAGTTCTGAATTACAAATTCGAGATCTTTCATTTCAATATGAAGGCAAACGAGAAGCATTTCATTTGCAATTTCATGGTACATTGACATTCAAAATGGGAGAATCAGTATTAGTTACGGGTAAAAGTGGAGCAGGTAAGATTTTCTCATTCTATAATTTATCTTGCAGACAATTGTTGATACGATCGCAAATATTATTCTAGGTAAATCGACTTTCTATGATATTTTAAATGGTTCAATACCAGCAAAGGACTATACGGCTGAGATAAAAATTGACAACAGACAAGAATCAATGACTCTTCATTCAATTGAAAAATGCCGAACAATGGTTTTACAAGATAGTCACATGGATTATCGATCAACTATCTACAGTATGATTACAGATATTGATGAAGATGATGTTAAACAAAAGAGAACGTCAGAACTCGATTCACTTGTATGGGAGTTTCTTCGTCTCGTTCAAATCGATGATTTTGTTCGAAACGAACTCAATGGAGATCTCGATGAAGAAATGGAAAATAAACTTAGCGGTGGACAAAAGACACGATTATTATTGGCACGAGCATTGTATCGTGCTTATCAACGTCATGCTTCTCTACTTATTCTCGATGAACCTGATCAAGGTTTACCTGCTGAGACAACAGTGAGTATTATTGACAACATTATGAAATGGTATCGACCAAAAGGTATTCTTATTCTTACGTTACACACTGAACGAGCACAGTTACTCAACTTTGATCAAATCCTACATATCGAACAAGGAACTATAACAAAGATCAAATAACATTGATTAATCACCTAGGAAATCATTTTTCTAGCTTTTATGCTTCATTTGAGTCCTATTATTGTATACATATGTCAATTGGTTGTTATTAGTTCTTATTGATGTTAATAATTTTTCTCATGAACTCAAAATGTTCGTGTGCAATCACTGGAAAATTGTTTTCTATCACTATTCCTATTGGTTTGCATGATTTCTATATTTGCATAATTATTTTAATAATAAAAAAGAAAAAATGTGTTTCATTTTGTACGAAAAAAGTTTTTAAATGGGTAAAGATCACCATAGTTACCTCAAAACCTGCCGTCGATTTTCGTACAAGTGAAGCGTAAATATAATAAGAACTTATCCTGGTGAGGTGTTTGAGATTTTGAAATACGATATATTTGCAATTAGGTACGTATTGATTAAAAAGTGTTTTTATCTCGCGAGTTTGCAATAAGCAAGATCACTACCACATCTTTGAATGACAAGATACGTGAAGGATTTCAAATTGTCATAGATGATAAACCTATTAGCAAAACCAGAGAACCTTGCAGAATTCGATCACGTACGATTGAAAATTATGCAATGTTTAGTTGATCATCATAAAAGAATTTTCATTTCAAAAGAGTCTAATCACTGTCAGCTATTTTGACTATGCATGAAAGTGATCATGAACATAGTAATGCAAGTCATTTTCGTTGTCGATGTTGGAGTCGCTCAAGGGTGTGGGTGTGGGTGTGGGTGTGGGGTGTGGGTGGGTGCGGGTGTGGGTGTGGGTGGGGGGGTGGGTGTGGGTGGGGGTGGGTGTGGGTGTGGGTGTGGGTGGGTGTGGGTGTGGGTGTGGAGTATGGGCGTGTAGGGTGTGGCTGGGGTGTGGCTATGGGTGGGCTGTGAGTTGGGTATGGCTGTGGGTGGGCTGTGAGTTGGGTGTGGCTGTGGGTATGAGTGAAGAGCACATACGGCCATACCCACACCCACACCCTCACCCTCACCCACAGCCACCCACACCCTCACCCACACCCACAGCCACCCACACACCCACATCCACACCCACACCCACAACCACAACCACACCCACACCCACACCCCACACCCCATACCCATATCAGCGAACGACTAAATTAGCGAAAATATTTTTTTCACGAATAAAAAATATCATTAAAGGAAACTGTATTTATAATCAAAAAAAAATAAAATTCAAATATAAGAAATAGATAAATATAACGAGCACAGATCAAATGGTGATAGTGTAGGTAGATAGATGTGGCTTTTGGTGAAAATAAGATCCACTCACACACACATATCCGTCTATACAAGAGAAAAGAAAAGAATAAACAAGGATTGTTACTTATAAATAGCTAGCCATGATGAATTATTCTTATACCGCGTTAGATGGAGCTCGCCAAGAAAAACAATTCACTGGATATTTTTTTCGTCATGTGTGACTTTTTGCTCTATTGTTCTCTCGCTACTTTCGTTTTTTTGCTATCATACGTCTTCGCTGCAAAGTACTTTCGCTGAATTGTTTTTTTATGTTTGTCTTTTTGCTGAGAAAATTGAACGCAAAAAGGCTCTTCTTTAAACGGACACGCTTTCTTCGTATTCGGCGAACGGTCAAAAATGTGTAGTAACTAAAATTATATTATTCAAACAGTTATTTTGGATTGAACTGATCTTTTTCAACAGTTCATTCGGTTATTCTATATTAACTGATAAATCAAAGTTGTCCGAGACTTAGCAATGTGAAAAATTTTAAGAATTTTTTTACAGGTTACAAAAATTACGATTGATTAGAATTTCACTAGAGATACTGGCTTTTCAACGGTCGAACATATTCGGATGTATTGAAACTTTGAAAAATTTGAAGCAAAAGGATGTGAATGATGCGAATACCCACACTTACATCCGACACTGTTGAAGTATCTATGAAAAGCAATCACATTCTATAGAATAGATTCGGAAAAAAAATCATTTTCTTTCAATTTTCTTTTCTATTATATTCGCTCAGAAATGACATTGAATCAAGTTCTAACTGTTATCGCGAATATAATCGTTGTGAAATATGAGTAAGAACATTTCTACATTCGCCTCTGTAAATTTTCGAAGGTAATATGTATACGACGAACATTAAAGTTGACGGCATAAATGAAATAATATATGCAATAAAGAAAAGCCAAGGATTACGAGGCGAATTCATACAGCCAGGTAAAAATGAAAAAATCAAACGAGATATTGCCAGTGCAGTCAAAATACAAGGAGAAATTATAATATGTTGATGTCGACGAAATTGTTGAAGAATATGTTGTTTATATGTTTGTTCTTTATGAACAAATGCTCTTTGTCGAGCAACCATGAATATAATGAAAAGGGCCGAAATCAAATTAATTGCAAACGGTACAGTGAAATGAAACATAGTTATAGTTGAATTCAACATTTGATAGAAACTATTGTATGTAATCATGCACCATATTCGTTGTTCTTCATTATCATCTAGTAGATTGCGATGAATTGGATCATATATACGTGTCAATAATGTAACAGAGCAAACAACTAGAATTATCCATCTAGCTATTTTTCGACTTTTAGTTTTATTGAAAGAAGTTCTTTTGTATGTTACAAAAGCTCGTTCGATTGCTACACATCCACTGAGCCAATCACCCATACTCAAGCAAGCACCTAGAATAAAATCCATTGAACGACAATTGAATATAAGAAATGATCGTTGAACAATGATTGTCATTTGTGAAAGAACAAGTAACGAGAATTTAGCCATTAAGAAGACGATCGTAAGAAGAGAAATAATTGCATTAGCAAATAAATACAAACCACAGCCAACTTCACATATAGTTTTCGAATGAAAAGTCAATATTGAGAGAAGATTTCCTAATAGACCAATTATTACCATGATTGTTACTAACAAGGCACTCACTTTAATAACTAGTGGTTGCCGTAGAAACGGAACATTTGATTGAATGTGATAGCCAAGGATAGCATCGAGTGAAAGACCAAAGCCTTGCGTAGTAAATTGACAATGTGTTCCATAAAAACATTCTGCACAAACACACGTAACCATTGTCGGACAGATTAATTGATCCTGAAAACATCGAGCTCCATTAAGACAACCACCATTACTCATTCCTTGACATGAATTCATTTCATTGTGACCAATTGTGAAACATTGGGCTTCGCGACTTTCATTTCTATTTGTACAATAACACATATATTTTTCATCATAAAAACAAGCTAAATTCCATTGTTGTTTACATGGTAATTGATAATATTTAATACGTCGAAGAAGATGAAGAGAGATTAATGTTCTATTCAGTAATTCACGAACGTGTCGACAACGTCGATCTGATTGAACTCTCATTAAAATTGTTCTTCGATTGTTTTCATTCATCAATGAATTATTGTCATGAATTGTATAGGTCAAATAGTATTCATTCATAGATAGTGCCATGAATGCTAGAAAGAAACGATTTGGTGTATAAAAACTAATTGAATTTTGATCAAAGGGAATCTTCTTATATATTGAAACAGGTTTATTAGTCGTCATTATCGTATGTTGAATTAAATAAATAATAATCGATTGTGGAATTTCAATATTTGAATGAAATTCTACTCGAACTTTTAGGTCTAATTTGCTACATATTTGATTGGAAAAGCCTTCTGGACATAAACAATAGATATTATTTTTTCTTCGCCGCATATCCGATGGTATACATAAACCACCATTTTGACAACGGTCTAATGAGGATGAACATGTAGTCGATTTAAGATAACATCGAGATCCCTCTTTACCAAGAGGACAAATACAAATATTTTGATACATACACAATGAATCACGAGCACAAAGATTGCATGTATCATGTTTAATTGTGCAATCTTTACCCGACCATCCAGGATCACATCGACAGTAATATAATGAATTTTCATCATTGTGATTAATATATTTGACGCATTCACCGTGATGATTACATGCGAATGAACATCGTAATGGTCGATAGGATGAAATAGTTATTTCGATTGCCATACGATGAACGGGAAGAAATGTATATACCTAAGGAAATAACCAACTACCACGATATTCTAACGTTTGCTTATCATAAACATGTATTTGAATACTGTAATTCTTCATAGTATCCTTTGGTCGTGAACGATAGAGAAGATAAATGTTGAAATTAACTAGATTACAATCAAACTTTTGTACATAAAGTATTTGATCATGTGATTGAATTGTACCTTCATTATCGATTAACATAGTGACAATATTGAATACTGTTCGCCAATCAGCATCATTGACAATTTTTAATGTGAGACTAACTCGTTGATTTTGATATTGACATGAATGGCCGTAATAACTCGGTGGACAGAGACATCGTTGTTTTTCTTGGTTATCATAGAACTGGATTGACAAACCTCGATGACAAAAATGTATCGTATTCAGGTCTCTTTTTTTTCTTTCCGATTCATATTTAGTTGGAAGGGAAATTTCCTTTTCTATTCTATTCATTCTCGTATTCGACGAATAAAGGAAATAGCTGTAATATCGTGATTTGTAACGTTCAGTCAGTTTACACTTAAGCGTTCGATTATCTCTTGTGAAATTATTGTTACAGTAGAACAAACGATGAGCTAAATGTATGTGCCATTCACTAGTATCATTTATGTATCCATTCAATAAATCACATACTAGTGGTACAGACAGAAACTGATAACTGGTCCAACAACTAAAATAAGTTTTAATTATTGAATTGTTCACACAAAGCTGCTCTGGATATGTATAAAGTGTTGATGAACAATTTTTGATTCCATTACAATGAGAAAATAAGCATACTTCGGCGTAATCACTTTTCTGAACGCACAGATGATCGATCAATTGGCAATTCGTATTAGTCCAGCAATGTCTTTCGTCGATACCTGTCGGACAATGCCAAATATGATCACATCTCGTGTAAAAATTATTGCAATACCAAAACTCACATTCAGTCTCATCCGTTTCATAAAGATTATTGATTTTAATTGGTATTAGTTCTCTGAAACCATCGCATATATTCGGAAACGAAATATCAGTTTGACTTCGATAATCTAATAGTGCAGATTTACTTTCATCTTCATCGAATTTACAGTCTGAGTAACCATCATTGATAAGAATAGGTGAAATACATTTATTTTCTTTTTCCGAACATTGAAAACGAAATGTATTATTCAATAAACAACTATCAGCAAATAATTCGTCATCGTTACTTATACAATCTTGAATTCCATCAACCAGACGACGTTTCGAAATGCATTTCGATGAATTGATACATCGATAATGGCTTGCATCATGACACTGACTAGTACTTGCAGTTGCGCATTCACTAATAAAATAGTGTTCGATCATTACGATAAGTTCTAATAAAGGAGGGTGATATTCATATTGAAAGCCGAATTTCTCAAAATCAACACATGAACTTTTATGTTGAACGAGACTCACATTCACTGAAGGAAGTGCAATGCTGCATTGCTGGGAATCGTAACAAATGTAAGATGGTAAAATTCGTTCGTTTTCTTCATCTGCACTCTCCTTCGTATAGAGCAAGAAGACGTGATTTAATGCGATAAAGTCAGCTGGAAAATGAAAAATTGGTTTGCAATCAATCTTAACATTGATTGCACATTCCTCATAACAATATAAACCACACGTTTCATCACCAATATGTGTCTTCATTTTTGTCAGACACACCATCCCATTCCAGCATGATTCCGAAATATCTAGCAATATCCATTCAGCTGTATTGATCATACCACGCTGATTTGTACATTTACTGAAGTCATAGACACACTGTCCGTCACCACAATTCAATCTTGCTTCACCTTGTCCAGGATGACATGTATGTTCTTCGCATCAAAATGCAGGATCTCGAAAACAATTTTTCCAATATTCCACATTATGTGCTTCATCAGTTCGATCTATACAATCTGGATTATAGAGACCATTCCGATAAAAACTTGTTGAAATACTTTGCATTCCATTATGACACAGAAATTCATTTTTACTATTTATAAATGCATTAGAGTTTTCAAGTTGCCAACAGTTTTCTTCGTCTATTCCATTGTTAAGACAATCGATTTTTCCATCACAAATTTCACGCCAATCGAGGCAAAGCGCTGATGGGCTACGTTTACACTAAAATACAGATACATATGCGAGTATGAATAAAAGATGATTTTAGTTTTGAATTTATTAATCAAAATGCACGATCGAGAAAAGATAATGTGAGTATGAATATGGATTATTGTATCTAAGGATAACAGATAATCATAACTCCAAAACTAAGCCTACCTCCAACAGTTTGTAACACGGCACATATTCAGGTGAAGCAAATTTTTTCTCATTAAATGTATCGTAGACAACGTCTACTAATGTTCTTTTGTCTTTTGCTCGATAAAATGAATATTCACAAGCATTGCCAAACCAATCATTTGTACAATTATAATAAAGATCGGATCCATTTGTCGTTGAATCACCAACTAAATAGGCTTCATAGCGCTCAACGAGTTCAATGGTTGCTGTCCAATCAAGCAATTGTTCTCCTGTTATGTTTTGATTTTTAAGATCATTAAAAGTAAAACTACGTCCCTTGATTAAATGTTTAGCGGGAAGAGTTTTTGAGAGTTCACTTAGATTTTCTAACCGTATACAGTAGGCAATCAGTTGAAGGTCCAGTGGTTCCGGATTATCATATGAAACAATATCGTTTTCAACATAGTAGTCAAGACAATCATACTGCAGTGATGTTGGATTATCATATTGATCAGTGTAGTATAGATTCAAACTATATATTGTAGATAAGGAGAAGTTGATGCAAAGAAAAAACAAGTGATTATGAGCAAGTGAGAGAATCATTGCTATATTTCTCAGAAGATTCAGTTGCAGCACGTAATTGATCTTGTTTATAGTTCAATCTGTTTATCGTAAGAACAAAATTTGGTAAACAATACATAACAAAGAAGACGGCTTTCAACTAAATCTATAATTTGCTGGAATGTGACAACAAATTGAATACTTAAAGATCACGCACACAAAACTTTTTTTCTACGTCAACTATGATCATTTTAGAAAAGAATAAGTAGATTTAAATAAAGAAAATGCTTTGTAAAGGAGAAATTCTCTAGACGTTTTATCAGTTAGCAACGTTTTTCTTGCCCAGAAAATACTTATTTTCAAGAAATTCGAAATATCATTGGCTTGTCTAGGAAAGCTACTAAGTTTCACAATTCTGATGTCGAGTTTTCATCGTAGTATTATGCCCCGAACTCCTACATAAAACTGCTCCACGCGAAGTACATGAAATATTATTTTGATGGCTTTGGGTTGAATAGAGAAAT